ATGGGTACGACTGGACACGGCACAGCTATGTACAATGGAGCCCTGGTATTCAGTTGAATATCGCTGACGCGGGCGATGGGCGCCCAAGTGCAGCCACGGATGATCCGTGTACGACTACTACTACTACGGCTGCGCCCTCCTGTGCAGCTCCGACGGCGGCGCCTGCCACGTCGAGTACTGAGATGCGTGCAGCTTCGCTGATGGCACACGCCCGTGAGATCCCCGCCAGCGTAGGCAACCCGAACCTGACCCCTCTCCTCCCTCGGCCCTGGAGCCCCCTTGCCTCCCCGCCTCCGAAGAGGCCCCGCAGGGCCTCGGTTTCTCAGTTTCCGCCTCAACGTCTGCCGCAACTTCCCAGGAGCCCGTCCTCTTCCTCCGCTGCCTGGCGAGGCCCAGGCACGCACTCCAGGACGATGGAAGCCATTTTGAGGCTTGTGAGATCGAGCAGGCGTTCAGACCTGCGTTCCGATTCCCGTCAGTGTGCGATTTGTCATTTAATCTCGGGTGTAGCCCGATCCTAGAGGCACGCCGCGTCTGAGACCCGTGCACCGCCGCCTCCGAGGGGGTCCGATCCGATATATACATATATATATGTATATGTATATACGCACATATATGTATATACATTCATATAGATGCAACTATACACATACATATACATTCATATGTATATTTCTATACATACGAATGTATATACAGACATATATACATATATATATATATATACATATATATATACAGGTGTTCACATGTTGTATGAGTACATACTGCTGAATAAGTATATTGCCATATACGCATACATCTCCCATCATGCCACTCATCCACATCTAGGATCTGATCCAAGCCTTGGATCTAGAACAGCACCTCTGTGCGCTAGGATCTGATCCAACAGGCCGGATCTGAAAAGTAGATTCTGCGGGCCCCTGGGCTGCGGGCTGCCTCGGAGGGCCTGGGCGACTCGCCAAAGCTGTGCGCGGCGGGCCCTTGCGGCGCTGGATTACGCGTGGGAGCTCCTGGCGGCAAGAGCTTGCGGCGCCCCGGCGGCGCCGGCGCTGTTGCGACAGCAGCTGGCGGGCACCCGCGCCGTTACGACAGCAGGTGGCGGCCCCCCGGCGGCGCCCGGCGGCAAGCTGCGCCTGCAGGGGGTGCTCAGGCGAACGCTCCACACCAGCGTGTTCGCCAACGACCTGGCCTCGACGATGACCAGGCGCATGGAGCGCCGGCATCCGGCATCCCTCGGTGGAGACCCCCGAGGCGCTCGACTGGGAGGCGGTGGCCGGTGACCTCCGCCGTTTGCCGCAGGCGTGGCGGATGGCGTTGCTGCGGACGTGGGCTGGGGCCTGGCCGACGGCGGCGCGCCTCCAGTCGCGCGGCCATCCGTGCATTTTCGGCTGCACGGCTGGGGCTGATTCCACGGTGCACCGCGCCTGCGCGGCGCCGCAGAGAGAGCGCTGGGCCACGCGCTCGCCCCGTCTGCGCGGGAACGCTTGGCTCTAGACGCTGGGGCCATGGAACTTGAGAAATGGGAGAGGGCTCGCGACGCCGTGCTGATATGCAATGTGCATCGAGTGATATCCCACCGTCACTCGTCTTCCCCCCCCCCACCTCAGACTTTGACCGATGCTGGTTCTGCCGTTCGCCAAGCCACGGATCGGGCTAGTGGCCACTTCCGCCGGCCTCGATCGATGCAGCAATCCTTTGCGATAGCGGTGGCACATATATATATATATATATATATATATATGTGTTTATATATATTGTAGCATATTATATATATATGCACACCATATATATATATATGTATATATATATATATATATATACATGTATGTATGTATGTATGTATGTATGTATGTATATATATATATATATATATATATATATATATATATTGACCTTTTGGGTTTTCTAGCGTCCAAGAGGGCCCAAGAGGCCCCCAGAACTGCCCCACAGGTTCCCAAGACAGGCTCCAAGACGACATCAAGAGGGTCCCAAGACGGCTCGAGAGGCCCCCAGTACCGCCCAAGTGATCCCCGGGACGAGCCTCAGAAGAGGTCCAAGAGGTGCAAAGCCATGTTCAAATGCCAGGCTTTCGGCCCCAAAGGCTCCTAAGAAGCCCCAAGAGACGCGCAAGAGGCCTCCAAGAGGCCTGCAGGAGGCACCCGGGAGGTTCCAAAAAGGTTCCCATACCGCTGCGAAGGCGCCTTTGAGTGGCCTCTGGGTGTTATATATATATATATATATATATATATATATATATATATACATACACACACTACATCTGTACATACGCGTATACATATATGTATGTATAAATGAATACATGCATGTATATATTTATAAACATATATATATACACATACATGTTATCATACGCACCTCTCCGGGGGAGTTGAGCTCAGAGGCGATTTCTGCGTACGCGGGGCGCCGCGTTCGCCATTTGTCTGGCCGCTTCGCCAGGGACATCCTCCAAATTTTGAAAATCGGTGGCACCCCTCACGCAGATCGTGACGTCAGGGTCCACAAGCACATTGGCATTTCAACATTCGAACATAAAACCTTCAAAAACACATTGTAATTTCAACGATTCTGACTCTGATTCTCAGAGATTGGCAGTTTCGCCTGAGACATCCTCCCAAAATCGAGCCCCGACGTACCTTCTGGTACCCCTGACCCCGCCTCGGAGCCTCTTGGGGGCCTCCTGGAACCTCCTGGGGCCTCCTGGGGCTTTCTGTACCTTCTGATACTCCAGACCCCGCCTCGGAGCCTCCTGGGGGTCTCCTGGGACCTCCTGGGGCCTCCTGTGGCCTCCTGGAGCCTCTTGGGGCCTCCTGGAGCCTCCTGGGGTCTTCTGGTGCCTCCTGAGGCCGCCTGGTGCCTCCTGGGGCCTTCTGGGGCTTCAGAACTACATGCACACACAGAAACACAAATCACACCCAACACATCACACGCTAGACAAACATAACACACACACACACACAACACCTACAACGCACAGAAAGCACGCACAACACATAACACACACCACACACACACACACAACACTCACAATCCTGGGGCCTCCTGGAGCCTTTCCCGGTATCCAAGTCGGGCCTCCTGAGGTTTCTTGGGGGGCCTTGGTACACATCGCAAGGTGTGGCAACCCCACTTGCGCTCGAGTGCGACCTCGATCTTGTATTCTTCTCCGGTCACCTCCTGCCTCTCCCCTTTCTCTTAGGCACGCCCTGGCGGTGCCGCCCCAGCTTCCCCTTCTCCATTTCCGATCCTGCAGTCATGGTGTCTTCCTGCTTCAAACGCCTTTTCAGTTTTTTGTTGTATGAGCCTGGGCACACGTGCCACTTGTATATATATATATATATACACGTATATATATATATATATATATATATATATATATATATATGTATGTATATATATGTGTGTGTGTGTATCTGAGTGGGCCGGGTTCGGGCCGGGCCGCTGCCTGTACCCCGCATGGGCGACCCCCGGCCTTGGGTCCCGCCAGTCGTCATGGCTACGATCCCCCGTTAAAAAAACGCGAGATTCGCATCGCGAGGGCAAGATTTCGGGTCTGCCGATGCCGCGATCCCTCGTAAAACACTAGGACTCGTGTGTCCCAAGAGGGTCCAAGACGGCTCCACGAGGCCCAGAAGACGCCCAAGATGCTCTCAAGACGGCCGACGAGGACTCCAACGCGCCCCAGGGCGGACTCAACAGGCTCCCCAAGGAGGCCCTAGGAGGCATACTGTATTTATGTTTCTATGGTTTTGAAGGATTTTGGCGTTCTCGCTGTTCCCGTTTCCCAGCGCTCCCTTACGGCCTGGGAGGCCCTTCAGATCGGCCCACGAGGCCCCGAAGAGGGCCCCAAGACAGCCCAAGAGGCTCCCCAGACAAGCCAAGTGTGCCCAAAGAGGTGGCCCAGAGGCGGACCGCGAACCGATATTTCGGAGTCTCTGGCACTAGAGGCCCCCAGGAGGCCCCCAGAGGCCACCAAGAGGCTCCCACGAAGCTCCGTGAGGTCCCCAAGAGGCCCCCAGAAAGCCCCAAGGGGCCCCCAGGGACCGCCCAAGGCGCCCCCCAACACACCCCAACAAATCATGTCCCCAGAAAGCTTTCCAGCGTGGTTCATCATTGGCCCGAGAGTCTCCGGAGGCTCCGAAGTACCATCGCGCTACGGTGGAGTTGTCTGGGAAGTTGATTGGGAACATGATCGCCTTCTCGCGGCCTTCCGCGGATCGTTTCGTACAAAATAGCCCCAACCGAGGACGACGACGAAGACGTCGAAGACGACGAAGCGACGAAGACGAGGACGACGACGGCGAGGACGACGTCGACGACGACGACGACGACGACGACGACGACGACGACGATGACGACGACGACGACGACGGCGCGCCTCGAGAGGCGACGACGACATTATGACGGCACGCCCCAACAGGCTCCTTCCCCAAGACGCCCACCAAACCCACGTTCCCAGAAGGCCTTCAGGGAACCCGATTCATCAGGCCTCCGCCCCCCTACGCAACCATCTTCCCTGAAAGCCTTCCAGAATTCGGATTGACACGCATGGACTTCGCATTGCCCATAATGCGTTCAGCGTTATGGGCATTTCTTCACTTCCCGTTCAAACCATCTGTGGTCACCTGCTTCAGTGGAGCAGTGACCGCGTCAAGGCTTGGGCCTTGCTAGAACCTGAGCGCGCGCGAAGCGCGCGCGATGGTTCTAGTAGCATATATTGCAGGACGTATATTGCACATCACAGACTCCACCCCGCAGATCTCACCGCATAGATTGCAGCACGTGGATTGATACAAGTACTGTTTGGGGTCCACGCTGTGATTATCTAGTTTCACTGTAGGGCCCATCGTTGGCTAATCGTGACCGGTTTTGCGCCGAAGCGCTGTTTTGGGCCATTGGCTGGACCAGTATCGTTTCAAAGTGCCTTCAAAACGAAACCGGCACGAAAAACGAGCACCGCTGATTTTGTCAGCCCTTGCGAGGTGCCCAACGGTCTCGGCGCTCTGTCGAAGGTGCCTGCGCTTGGCTGGCTGCAGATCATCCTGCTCGCCGGCGTGACTGAGGTTCAGATCTACAAGGACACGGTCAAAGGCGAGCCTGGCAACTACGGCGCTGGCTTCCTGGGTTGCAAGAGCATCGGCCTGACCAGCCCCGGCTTCGCAGACCCCGAGGTTCGAAGAACAATACACGGAGCACACACATGTTTGAGAGCTGCGCGCGGGTTTCTTGGATCGGCGTTGGCTCCCCCTCCCTGGCGCGCGGGGCGTGCCAGGGGCGGCTCCAGAGGCGCCGTCAGGGGGATCCAGCGCCGATGCAAGAAACCGGTGCGGGCCTCCGAACTTTTCTGTGTATGCCGCTTGTTTTTCCTCTCAAAGGTGCGGAAGGCGAAGCTGAACGCGGAGCTGGCCAACGGCCGCCTGGCGATGATGGCCATCATCGGCATGTTCTTCCAGGACGGCCTTACGGGCTCCGCCTGGGGCGACTGGGCCCTCTACACCGACTCCCCGCTGCGGTGAGGCTGCCCCAACTCTGCCTTCCGTCCCTCCTCCCTGCGCTACTTCGAGGGCAACGTTGGGGGGAACGGATCAATGGGGGACGCGCCGACACCCAATCGCTTATTCATCCCCGACCAGGGCCCGATAGCCCTCTCCCTCCAGGGGCGTGCGGATTCGCTACGGAGGGCAAGTCGCCGGCCTGTTGAAGATGTATCGCTGATTTCAGGTCGATTCTTCTCCCCCTGAGAGGGTCCCCCCTGCCGTTTCCCCTCACTCCTGGCGTCTGCCTTTCCGCTCTCATCGCGCGGGCCGCGCCAGCTGGCAGCTGACAGCGCTGGTCCCGCAGATTCCTGTCATGTTGCCATTGTCTCCTGTCCCCCCCTCGTCCTCATTTTGGCAGGTCCCCCTCCTCCTCCTCCAGCGCACCATTTCTCCGCTCCATTAGGCCCGCAGGTGTTCTGAAGAGGGCCACCGAGAGAGAGCACGACTGTTTAAACGCGGTGGCTGGTGTGAGGCTGAGGCACCTAGGGGAGGAATCGCCTCCCAGCTGGTGTGTCCACCGCCTTTTTTTCGGATGGCCAGCATCGGCGCGGTGCACCAGGTTGGATCTAGGAGCGAGTGCAGTATGACGGACGCATGCTGTCCCTGACGAAAGGTCAAATGATCCCAAAAGTTGAATCTCCTCGCATGGGCCCCCTCGCACGGCTCGTCGGCCGCCCCGGACCAGGTCGGAGGAGACACGCAGCTTAGCACGCGTGGCCCTCCAGGGCCCTGCCACAGCCCAGAAGTTGCCTTGCTCGGCTGAGCGCGCCTGGGCCAACTACGCCGCGGAAGATACAAAGACGCACAATGTGGCCGCAGCGCGGCCCCGTGGCCGCATGTGATGGCGTTTTGTGGCGGTCGTTGCTCTCCAGTTCAAGACGTTGCAGTAAGCCCTTGCAAGTTCAGGAGGTGCTCTGGCTTTGGCCGCTCCTCAGATCTAGGTCGGGGAACCCCCTTCGTGGCCGAGGCTCGCCGTTGCCTGAAGAGCCCCCTCGTTCCTGACTCAGCGCCCCTTCTGGTACAGTCGAGGCTGATCAGTAGGCCGACCCTGCCAGATCAAGGGTGCCCTTGTGTCCCGTGTTTCGCGACCCATGCCTCCTACATTCCTATGGCAGTGTAGCCCTCGGAAGGGTCTTGTGCCCTCTTGCGTGCCCTCTCCAATCCGCCTCGGCCGTAGCACGATGATTGCACCTGGGCCCCCTGCGAACTCCCTCCCGCTTTGCCCCCCGGGGCGGAGGGGGGGCGCGAGGGGCCCACTCCGCTCTCGCGCTTCGCCCCCTCGCTCCGCCCCTCCATGCCTCCCATCTCCCCTCCCTCCTTCCGTCCTCCCTCCGTCTCTCCTCCTCCGTCCTCTCTCCTCTCCTCTCCCTCCCCCCTCCTTGTGTCGCCTGTCCCTTGCTCTCCCTCCCCACCCCATCGCGCAGCCGTTTTGGCTCGAGGAGTTTTTGAAAACAAGCTGCCTGTCACCTCCCTTGGCTTTTTCCATTCCCGCGCAGCGATGAAGGGCGCCGCGATCACCTCCGCCGCCGTGGCCTTTGGCCTCGGTGCCTCGACCACCGCCTTCCTGAGCCCCCACATGGGCGCCGGCCGCACGCAGGCTCCGAGCACGGAGAGGCGACGCCACCACCGCCAGGAGGGGGCGCCACCTCCAGCGAGGGGGGTGCACACGGTGCCCCCCCCCCCCGAGCCGGGGACAGCGCACCTGTCGCGCGAGAGCGGGGTGTTGGGGACGGGGGCACACCACCGGGAGGAGCCCCCTTCCGGCGCCTCGCGCTGGTGGTGGTGCCGTCGCCTTTCCAGACATTGTAGTGTCTCGATCTGGGTTCCCAGACGGGGTCCTCAGAGGTCCACGCTCACCTGGGGCCAGTCTCTCGCCCCGCATCCATCTGGCGGGGGCCCTGGGGCCCGAGCGCGCGCCCCGGAGGCCGACACCAAATCATCCCGTCGGAGACCTGAGCTCCTGGGCCCTGCAGGCGCCCCTGGCGCAGGCCGGCGCCGAGCCCGCGGAGCTCCGCGGCTCCGCGGCCTCGGAGCCCGCGCGCGGCGCCGCGGCAACCGGCCTCGCCGCGGCCGGCTGCGTCGCCGCCCTGGCCGGCCTCGTCGCGCGGCAGTCGCTCTCCGCGCCGAAGAAGCCGTCGAAGCCCCGCCAGGTCCGGCTGCAAGTAGCAGAGTGAACCTTCGCCGGAGTGGGCGTCGGTTCTCGGCGGTGCAAGGGGGTGCTCGGAGGAGCCCGGAGGTCCTCAGAGCCCTCTCGGAGCTCCTCGGGGCTTCTCGAAGCTTCTCGGAGGGTCTCTCGAAGCTTCTCGGAGGGTCTCGAGGGTTTCAGAGTTTCTCGGAGGTCTTCGGAGGGTCTCGGAGGGTCTCGAGGGTTTCTCGGAGGGTCTCGGAGGCTCGCCGAGCTTCTCGGGGGGCTTCGAGCCCCCTGATACCGTCCAGCGCCCAGATCGTCCCGAGCGGCCGCCGGAGAGAGCCGAGTTCTCTGACCCGACAACGCAAGTGGCAGTGTTGGGGAGTATATGCTCAGGGGGGGATTCTTCATCCCCCAATCGCCACACGACCGCCGATCGGGGCCTGACGGCCCACCCCGCCCAGGCACGTGCGGGTTCGCTATCGGGGGCCAAGCCCAAGCACGCACGCCGCCACTGTCGCACCGCATGCAACCATCGGCAAGCCGCCTCCAGGGCCACACTGGCGTGCAGCCGACAGGTGGCCATGACCGCTTTCGAGAGCGAGACCGGCGTCCAGGCCCCCGTCGGCTACTGGGACCCGCTGGGGCTCAGCGCGGACGGGGACGTGGCGACCTTCAAGCGTCGCCGAGAGACCGAGCTGAAGCACGGCCGCGTGGCAATGTACGCCACGATGGGCTACATCACGCCGGAGTTCTACAAGTGGCCGGGCTACCTGAGCCCTTCTTCTGGGCTCAAGTTCGCGGACGTGCCGAACGGGCTGGCCGCCTGCAGCAAAGTGCCCGCCGTGGGCTGGCTCCAGATCATCCTCTTCGCCGGCGCCTTCGAAGCGGGCTTCGGCTACGACGCCTACACTCGTGGTGGCGAGCCCGGCAATTACGGCTGGAAGGCGCTCACGTCGGATGACCCCGCAGTCCTGAAGAGGAAGCTGAATTCCGAGCTGGCGAACGGGCGCCTGGCCATGATGGCCATCATCGGCATGTTCTACCAGGACGGCCTCACAGGCTCCGCGTGGGGCGACTGGGCAAACTACGCCGATTCGCCGCTGCGCGCCTTCGAGAGCGAGCTGGGGGTGCAGGCGCCCGTCGGCTTCTGGGACCCCGCCGGCCTCAGCAAGGACGGCGACGCGGCGGCCTTCAAGCGCCGCCGCTCCACCGAGATCAAGCACGGCCGGGTATCCATGCTGGCGACGATGGGTTACATCACCCCCGAGGTGGCGGGCAAGTTCCCGGGCTACCTTAGCCCTTCCAAGGGTCTCGCTTTCGAGGACATCCCCAACGGATTGGCTGCCATCTCCAAGGTGCCCTTCGTGGGATGGCTCCAGATCGTCATCTACTGCTTGTACGTTGAGGCGTCTGGACTTGGCTTCAATTACATCGGCACGGAGGCCACCCCGGGCGACGTGGGCTGGAAGCCGCCGCTGCTTTCTGGCTTCGATGGCGAGGCGAAAACGAAGAAGCTGAACGCGGAGATCGCCAATGGCAGGCTGGCAATGATGGCGATCATCGGGATGTTCTTTCAGGATGGTTTGACCGGCAGCGCGTGGGGTGATTGGGCCCTCTACACGGACTCGCCGCTCCGCGCGTTCGAGAGCGAGTTGGGTGTGCAGGCTCCGCTGGGCTTCTGGGACCCACTGGGGCTCTCAGCCGATGGCGATGTGACGTCCTTCAAGCGCCGCCGATCTGTGGAGATCAAGCACGGCAGGATCTGCATGATGGCGACCATGGGCTACATCACGCCGGAGGTCGCTGGAAAGTGGCCTGGTTTCATCAGCAAGTCCGAAGGATTGAAGTTCGCCGACATCCCGAACGGGTTGGCGGCCATCTCCAAGGTGCCGGGATTGGGCTGGCTGCAGATCGCGTCTTGGTTTGCATTCTGTGAGATCCAGCAGGGCTACGACGCAGACGCCAAGGCCGAGCCAGGCAATGTCGGGTGGAAGCCGCCTCTGCTTGTTTCCGCCGACCCTGAGACACGAAAGCGCAGGCTGAACGCTGAGATCGCAAACGGCCGGCTTGCCATGATGGCCATCATCGGCATGTTCTTCCAAGACGGTCTTACTGGGTCTGCCTGGGGTGACTGGGCCAACTACACGGACTCGCCGCTCCGCGCGTTCGAGAGCGAGTTGGGTGTGCAGGCTCCGCTGGGCTTCTGGGACCCACTGGGGCTCTCAGCCGATGGCGATGTGACGTCCTTCAAGCGCCGCCGATCTGTGGAGATCAAGCACGGCAGGATCTGCATGATGGCGACCATGGGCTACATCACGCCGGAGGTCGCTGGAAAGTGGCCTGGTTTCATCAGCAAGTCCGAAGGATTGAAGTTCGCCGACATCCCGAACGGGTTGGCGGCCATCTCCAAGGTGCCAGGATTGGGCTGGCTGCAGATCGCGTCTTGGTTTGCATTCTGTGAGATCCAGCAGGGCTACGACGCAGACGCCAAGGCCGAGCCAGGCAATGTCGGGTGGAAGCCGCCTCTGCTTGTTTCCGCCGACCCTGAGACACGAAAGCGCAGGCTGAACGCTGAGATCGCAAACGGCCGGCTTGCCATGATGGCCATCATCGGCATGTTCTTCCAAGACGGTCTTACTGGGTCTGCCTGGGGTGACTGGGCCAACTACACGGACTCGCCGCTCCGTGCGTTCGAGAGCGAGCTCGGTGTGCAACCGCCAGTGGGCTTCTGGGACCCGGTCGGTTTCACCAAGGATGGCGATGTTGCTGCCTTCAAGCGCAGGCGGGAGACCGAGATCAAGCATGGCCGGGTCTCTATGCTGGCCACGATGGGCTACATCACCCCCGAGGTGGTCGGCAAGTTTCCGGGTGAGCTCTCTCCCAGTCTCGGAGTCAAATACGCGGATATCCCGAACGGCCTTGCCGCCCTTTCTAAGGTGCCAGGCCCCGGTTGGCTGCAGATCGTGGCGTATTGCCTCTACTGCGAGTCTGGGCCGTTCGGTTACAACGCTGACCCCAACAGGAAGCCTGGAGAGCTCGGCTGGAGGCCGATCGGCTTGTACAGCGCTGACCCCCAGGTGAGGCAGCGCAGGCTCGCTGCTGAGATCGCAAACGGCCGGCTTGCCATGATGGCCATCATCGGCATGTTCTTCCAAGACGGTCTTACTGGGTCTGCCTGGGGTGACTGGGCCAACTACACGGACTCGCCGCTCCGCGCGTTCGAGAGCGAGCTCGGTGTGCAGGCACCAGTGGGCTTCTGGGACCCTGCTGGATACTGCAAGGACTCGGTATCCGTTAACCGATCCCTCTCCGCATCCGCATCCCGAGCCCCACCATCCCACCACCCCAGTTTGGGGCGTGCCCCTCGAAACCCGAAGGGAACACCTGGATGGGTACGCCCGTGAGCCTCGCAAGGCCTCGCGAATGGGATCGCCCCCGCCGCACCCCTGTGGTCGAGGCCCCTGTGGGCGTGGCGTGGTGGAGGGTGCCAGTGCACCCCCCCTCTCTCCCACTCTGGCTGTGGGTTGGTTCGTCGTCGCCGTCGCACTCGTGCCGTCGTCGTCGTCGTCGTCGTCGTCGTCGTCGTCGTCGTCGTCGTCGTGGTCATCGTCGTGGTGGTCGTCGTCGTCGCCGTCTTCGTTCGTCGGCGTCGGCGGAGTTGGCATTGGCGTCGGCGTCGGCGTCGTCCCAGGATCATATGTCATCTAGGGGGGGCAAGTCGGCCAGCGGGGCCCACGCCGCGCCGGTGGGGACATGGATCGGCCAAACGACGCCCCAGGACGGGGACGCCGACAACTTCACCCGCCGCCGGGTCACTGAGATCAAGCACGGCCGGGTCTCCATGATAGCGTGCATCGGGTACATCGTGCCCGAGTACTTCAGGTTTCCCGGAGACTGCGCGCCCAGCCAGGGCCTCGCATTCTCCGGCATCCCCAACGGCCTGGCGGCGTTGGGCAAGGTGCCTGCCGTGGGCTGGGCTCAGATGTTCCTGTTTGCGGGAATGATCGACTTTGGATACCTGCAGTACGACCCCAGCAGGGGCCCCGGCGACTACAAGAACGCAGGGGTCTTTGGCGTCCTCAACGGCGGCGGGTGGGGCCCGATGCAGAATGCGGAGGCAAGGAAGACGAAGCTGAACGCTGAGCTTGCGAATGGTCGTCTTGCCATGATGGCCATCATCGGCATGTTTTTCCAGGACGGCCTCACCGGATCCGCCTGGGGCGATTGGGCCCTCTACACGGACTCGCCGCTGCGCGCCTTCGAGAGCGAGCTGGGCGTGCAGGCGCCGACCGGCTTCTGGGACCCCCTGGGCTACACGAACGATGGCAGCGTGGAGAACTTCCAGCGCCGCCGCTCCACAGAGATCAAGCACGGGCGCGTGGCCATGTACGCGACCATGGGCTACATCTTCCCAGAGTACGTCAGGTTCCCCGGCCTGCTGAGCCCCTCGGCCGGCCTGAAGTTCGCCGACGTGCCCAACGGCCTCGCCGCGCTCTCCAAGGTGCCAGCGGCCGGCTGGTTGCAGATCTTCCTCTTCATCGGCACGTACGAGGTGGCCTACGCGGAGAAGCCTGGGGAGCCGGGCAATTTCGGCAAGGGCAACTTCGGCCTCTTCGGTGGTGTCGCCGACTCCGCCAAGAGGACCCGCGGCCTGAACTCCGAGATCGCGAACGGGCGCCTGGCCATGATGGCGATCATCGGCATGTTCTACCAGGACGGCCTCACCGGGTCCGCCTGGGGCGACTGGGACCTCTACACGGCCTCTCCGCTGCGCGCCTTCGAGAACGAGCTGGGCGTGCAGGCCCCCCTCGGCTTCTGGGACCCTATCGGCTACACCGCCGACGGCGACGAGGCCGCGTTCAAGCGCCGCCGGGCGACCGAGCTGAAGCACGGGCGCATCTCGATGCTGGCCGCCATGGGCTACATCACGCCCGAGCTCGGGTTCAAGTTCTCGGGCTACCTGTCCCCCTCCATGGGGCTCAAGTTCGCAGACGTCCCCAACGGTCTGAAAGCCGTCTCCGTGGTGCCCGCGCTCGGCTGGGCCCAGATCATCGCCTACATGGCGTTCTGCGAGGTGTCCCAAGACCAGAAGCCAGGCACTAAGGCCTGGGCGGGCGACTTCGGATTCAAGGTGCTCACGTCTTCCGACCCCGAGACGCTGAAGAAGAAGCTCTCTGCCGAGATCGCCAACGGCCGCCTGGCCATGATGGCCATCATTGGCATGTTCTTCCAGGACTCGATGAGCAATACACTGCATGTATGCATCTGTATAGAATGTATGGGGCACAAACTTTCGCACCTCGTCGCGATTTCCTTGGATCGGCGCTGGGCTCACTGCGCCGATCCAAAACTTCGCGCGGAGCTCCGAAAGCTCATGTTGCTGGAGTTGTTTCTCCCTCTAAGGACGGCCTCACCGGGTCTCCTTGGGGCGACTGGGCCCTCTACACGGACTCGCCGTTGCGCGCCTTCGAGAGCGAGACGGGGGTGCAGCCGCCAGTGGGCTTCTGGGATCCGCTCGGCCTTTCAGGCGACGGCAGCGCCTTCAACTTCTCGCGACGGCGCGAGGTGGAGCTGAAGCACGGGCGAGTGTCGATGTTCGCCACGATCGGCTACATTGTCCCCGAGTACTACAAGCTGCCCGGCTTCCTCTCCCCATCCTACGGGATCCAATTTGCCGAGGTGCCAGGGGTTGGCGGCTATGTTGCCGACGTCGCCGCCCCGTCGCCGCTTCGTCGTCGTCCGTCGTTTGAACTGGTGTGGCGGTCTGGCAGCTATGCTGCCGCCGTCGACACCCTGTCGCCGCCCGTCGCCTGGGCCAGTGTGGCGTTCTGGCGGCTATGTTGCCTCCGTCGCTTCCCCGTTGCCGCCTCGTCGCCGCCCGTCGTCTGTGCCGGTGTGGCAGTCTGCCGGCTATGTTGACACGCCACCGCCTTGTCGCCGCGTAAATAGAGATTTTGCAGACCACATAGATTGGTCAACATCTATTGCGCAACACATAGAATGCCGTTTATAAACGAGAATAATTCGCATCTCCCCCCAGGATTAACCGCCCACCCTGGGGATAGGCAATTTACATGTTGTTGTGCACCATCTTTCGCCTTCGAATCATGAACTCATACCATACCAGCCTGGCCGGTATCGACCCCCCCTCACCCCTGCAAGAAATCACGACGCGCTATCAAAACCCATTCCTCGTTCAATAATCCCTTTGTTAAAACATGGGGTGAAGTGCAAGCGTGTGTCATCGCGCGCGCATGCCGGAACACTTCCAAAACTCGTGATGTCCTGCAAGGATTCTCAGATCGAGTGTCCCGAAACATGTAAGAACACGTATTCTTGCAACTTTAAGTGTCGTCGAGTTCTTATCCATTCGTAGATCTTGGCTGTTATTGACGCCTGCTTCGAGCTGGCGGAGTCTCCCCCATAGGACGCACCGTTGCAATCAGTCGCACTAAGCAGAGGCCCAGAGCCCCCCCCCCCCTTTCCGCCCAATGCCGAAACGTCGAGTAAGACAACGTTCACGTTTTCAAAACAAAATGGTCTGCGCGCTCGCTCTTAGGAATTCTCAAGAAAACGACTGGTTGTTCAAACTATTCATAAATGTCGACCAGACGGGCCTCTCGCGCGCGCATGTCGAAATCATTCGAACGCCCTTGCGCGCTTGCTGGAGGGTGGGGTGGGGGGGGGGGGTACGATCCCTTGTTAAATGTATGCGTGCGGACCGCTCGCCCCCGTCGGCCGCGCGAGCATGCCGATTTTTCCAAAACCATCATCACCGACGCGAAGACACCACCACCACCACCACCACCACCACCATCATCATCATCATCATCATCATCATCATCATCATCATCATCATCATCATCATCATCATCATCATCATCATGAGCATGTTCTTGAAACGCTGTTGCCCGTCTGTCCTTCTGCGGCTCTTTTTGGGCTCCGACCGAACTCGCTCAAGCTAATTCACGGCGGCCCATGTCAGTTGCTGTGCAGGCCTCGTTCAGAGCGGCGACCTGGCTCGCGGACCGTGTGCTCGAGAGTGCGGTGGTCTCAGAGGCGGGTTCTTGTGCGATTGCCGTGCAGGTGTTCGGCGGCGTGCGCGTCGCTTTCGGGACCGTGCTGATCGGAGGAGTGTTGCTGGGGGTGCTGATCGGCGCCAATGGCTGCTGCTGCGGCCTGGGCGATCGGCGACCGCATCGAGGTGCAGTGGCGGGCGGGCGGGAGTTGGCAGGCGCGCGTCGTCGTGGGGGCTCCGCCGCCGAGTTCACGACAGTGATGGGGGCAACACCTCCAGCAGGAGCGGAGGAGAGAGGCGAGATCGCATACATGATCACGCCCGACGGCGACATGTACCCCCACGTGCTGCACACCGACGCGATCCAGGGCGCAGTGAGAGTCCTCCGCGGGCACAGGGACCGCGCGTCAGTGGTTGGAACGGCCCCAGCCGCCAACGCGAGGTCCTACGGCGCCGACTGGACACCCGAGCCGCGGGAGTTCCTGGAGGCGGTGGCGGCCGCGTCGGCACGGTCCTTCGGCGAGGTGGAGGTGACGTTGAGACGACCAGCAGCGCCCAAGGAGGCGGGCTTGGACTCGGATTCAGCTCCGATTCTGCCTGACTGGGAGAGCGTGTCCAACCTGCCCGACCCAGACAGCAAGGGGTGGTATACCATCGCGGGCAGCGACCAGAGCAGCTCTGCCAAACTGCCCAGCCTGTCCGTGGACTTCGGGGTGATCGGCGAGGGCCTGGGCTTCGTGAAGGTCGGCAACAGCAGCTTCCTCGTGCAGTACGGGAGCCCAGAGACGGCCCTCGACGCGCGGGTGATGGCGATCCACGAGAGCGCAGGGGACGGGCGGCACCTGGGGTTCCGCGAGGGTGTGAAGCAGCTCACGGGGACTTCCTGGCCGTCCTGGCCCTTGCTGGGCCCGAGGACCGCGGGTTGGGCGTGCCGCTTCATTCGGGACCAGGATGTTGCGCCTCGCTCCCGCCACGCTCGGTTCAAGGCCGAGGCGGGGCTGTCGTCGTTAGATCCAGGGGTCGACTTTCACGAGTTCTGCCTACGTCTGCTGCAGATCGGCATTCAGTTTGACCAGCTGAACGTGTCAGAGCTTGCGATCTTTGAGCTGATCTGCAGGAAGGCGCAGATGATTGAGTATAAGTACAGGGACAGGTATCCCCCACGCGTGGGCGCGGCAGGCGATAATTTGACCGAGGGCGAGCGCATCTGCTTCGGCACGTCGGAGACCCGTGGTCTCATGATGATCTCGCCCGCCCTCTCAAGCTACGTGGCAGATGAGCTGCACAAGGAGGCGAGTGTGCCCAAAAAAGAGACGCAACGTACGGGGGGAGAGATCGACAGCCCGGCGTGGCGGCGCAGGCGGCAGCGGAGGCCATGACAAGTCAGCGGGCTTGCAGAGCCGCGCCGACATGTTGGCGAGTGAGAATAAGTCTTTGAAGGAGAAGTGGGCAGCCATCGGCCCGAAGGGGAAAGGCAAATCAGGAGCGGCTGCGGCCGCGGATAGCAAGTAGTCTCAGTGATGGCGGTGCCACGGGAGCTGTTCGCAGCCCCCGTGGCTTGACTGGCCGAGGAGGACTTCAACGGCTTCCACTCCTCGACGCGACGTCGGAGAAGCCGTGCTCGCCAATCTTTCTATGCGTCTCGCTGGGCACGTGAAGCTCTACACGGTCTCAATTGGCTGTGCGGGCGTGACGTGTCGAGCAATTTCGAGCCCCCCCCCCCCCCCCCTTGTGTCAACGCCGAGGCGTCGAGCAAATGAGTACCATAGTTCAGGCCCTCGGTGGGCCACCTTGCGCTGCGGCGGCGGCCCTCGCGGAGCTGTGCCGACGTGCACCGTGAAGTCAGCTCGTGAAGTCCATCGTGTGCACCGAAGGCCGCGTGAGTCCCCAGCGACGCCGTGAAGTGCGACGCCCCCGAGCTGCTGGGCGGTCACCCTCGCGAGTTGTGGCGCGATTGGCGACGGCAGCTGCTACGCGATCCCGAACAGGTTCGCGACCCAGTCGTTCCGTACTTCGATGGGAAGCTGCGGCGGTCTCCACGCCACTATGCTCGCTTCTTGAGCGAAATGTACAAGGCAGGTGCGATTCGTTTTTTCTCCCCCACGCCCTTCCACGGCGGGCTTGTTCTTTGTTGAGAAGTCGGGGAACCAGCTGAGGATGATCCTCGACGCGAGAGCTGTCAATCAGGAGTCCATCGATCCTGACACGACAGCACTGCCATCGGTTGGCGTCTGGCGGGGCTTGAAGACCCCAGCCAGCCACAGACTCTCGCTGGGCCAAGTGGACACCGAGGCGGCCTTTCGCACCGGGGTGCCGCCAGGGCTGGACGAGATGTTCGGGCTGCCTGCGGCGCCCGTGGACGCGTTGCTGGAGGCGCTGCCCGAGGTGGACATCGGCTCTCGGCTGGAGGGCAAGGTCTCGCCTTTGCTCGCTGTCCTTCCCATAGGCTGGAGTTGGAGCTTGTACTTCTGCCAGGCGCTGGCGGTACATCAGGTCGTCGCGGCTGGCATCCGCGCGAACCGCATCATACAGGACAGGCGCGTGGTGCCCGACGTGAGCGAGACTGCGGGCGTCGCCGTGCACGTCGACGGCGCGGCCGCCATCGGGTGCGACCCTGTGTCCGTGAGCACGACGATTGAGCAGGTCCACCAGCACCTGGAGGCCAGCCATCTGAAGTGCAAGGGGGCGCAGTCGGACCCGCGGGATCAGAAGTTCACGGGCTTGAGCTTCGATTTCGAGACGGGCCGCATCTCCGTGAGCAAGGGCCGCATCTGGAGGCTGCTCTTGGCGTTGCTGGAGGTCGCTGGGCGCGGCTACTGCAGCGGCGACGGCGTGCTCTCGCTCCTCGGCCACAATGCGTGGGCCGCCATCTTGCGGCGTTGCTCGCTGAGCGTCTTCCACAGTGCCTATCGTTTCGCTCGGGCTGCAGGGCCGCGGCGCTGGCGTCTTTGGCCCGAGGTGGCCACCTGAATGCCGCGTGGCAGCAGCTCTCATCGCCTTCGCTTACCTGGGCGCCAAGCTGGGGGTGGACCCCGTGGTGCTAGCTACGGACGCCTCGACGGGTTCCGGAGACCTGGAGGGCACGGGGTTCGGAGGCTACGCCGTGACGGAGAAGACCTGGACTCGGCACGACGTCTGGGCCGCGGCCTCTTGCATGGAGCGTTGGCGGTACAAGTTCGAGGGCGCCATCGAGACTCGGCGACGTGCTTTCCAGGCTGCGCGTGAACTCGAACGGGAAGGCGAGGCCAGGGAGCTGACGGGCGTGACAGGCCTTGTCGAGGACCCTGAGATGTCAGACACGGTCCTGCCCCTCCAGAGCGAGGGGTCAACTCGGATGTCGAGTGCTGCCCAGCCTGCGCGGCGCGTGTCATCATCGGTTGAGCACCAGGTGAATTTCGAGGAGATCGACCCGAGCTTCAGCTGAAGCTGAAGCTGTTCGGGCGCTGGACATCATGCGTCTGGGGGGCCGCGCGCTGATCACCGGCGTGAGACATCGGCTTCGACGGGCAGGAGCTCTCGGTCATGTCATCCTGAGTCTGTGCGACAATCTAAGTTTGACGCTTGCATGGGAAAAGGGAAGATCATCACATTATGTCCTAAATCAGACGTGCAGAGAGCTGGCCGCCTTGAGTATCCTGGCGGGATCATCCGTAGCCGCGCGCTGGTTCCCAAGTGAGCTTAACTCGGCGGATAAGGGGGGCCGCGCCATCGGGCGACCGTTCAGCTCCTACGAAGGTGACGGCCGCCATGCTGGCCAGCTCGGGGCCGACGAGGCGCGGGGCCTTGCTGCCTTGGCCCTCGCCCGCGCTTGCGGCGAGGCAACCACCTGGCGGAACGCGGGCGGCGCGCGCTTCCTCGGCGAGGTTGAGGAGCGCGAGCAGCCTGGGCGGGACCTCACTGCCGAGAGAGCTGCCCAGCCGAATGGTGACCAGGAGGGCCCGCTGGGAGACGCCAGCGGGGTCGAGCACCGCCTCAGCCTCAGCTCCGACAGCTCCTCCACCAGCGACACGGAGTCGAGCGGGTCGGCCTGTGACTCGGGCCGAGATCCTGAGGAGACAGCGGGCGGGCACCAGGACGGCCCGCCACGGCGACGTGCGGGGGGACGTCAAGTCTGGGCTCACCTTCTTGCAGACCAACAAGGTGAAGCCGCTCACGCGCGCCGCCTTCCGAGAGCGAGCACAGAACTTCCTAGAGTGGGCCATCGAGGGGGCGCTGGCGGAGATCTCCACTCGGCGCCTCGACCAGCTGGCGACCAACTACGTGGACGTCCTGTTCTTCGGCGGGATGGAGGTCGGCGAGGGCTCGAGGCTGCTGGCTGCCCTGCAGTACCTGCGACCCAGCTTGGGGACGGCTCGCCGCGGCAACTTTCCCGTGGCTCGGGCAGCGGTGGCGGGGTTCCGCCGCCGCGCCCGAGGAGGGGCTCGAGACTCTCTGTGCCGGCCTTGGGCGCTGGCGGCGGTCGGGGTCAGCCTGCTGCTGGAGGACCTGGAGTTCGCGACGGCGCTGCGGCTGGCCTGGGACGGCATGCTGCGTTTGCCGTCCGACCTGGTGGGCGTGATGCCCAAGACCTTGATCGGGCCTGGCAGGGCGGCGAAGCCCGCGTGGGCCCTTCTCCTCTACCCCAGCGAGGAGGAGGCGAGGGGCAAGGTCATGGGCGCCGACGAGGGCGCAATCTTGCGCGAGGCCAGCTGGAGAGGCGGCGGCAGTGTAGCCCTGCGGCGCCTCCGAGGAGCTCGGGGCCCCAGCTGCCAGCTCTGGTCGTTCGACGGGGCCTGGTTCACAAAGCGGTTCGAGGAGCGGCTGGCCGCGCTGCCCGAGGCGCCTGCGGCGGTCGCCTACCAGGTGCGCCACGGGGTTGCGATTCGCGCGGCGGCCGGGGGCCTGCCCCCCCTCAGCGGGATCACCGAGCAGCTGCGGCACGGCAACCCGCACAGCATCTTGCGCTACGCCAAGCACGATCGCTACCTTGCCCTGCTGAACAGGGCGCCGCAGGCCGCGGTCGACTGGAGCGAGGCGATCCACGCGCGGCTGGGCGGCCTGCTCGGCGGGGCCGACGTCTTGCAGGCCCCCGCCTTTCTGCCGCAGAGTGTGCTCGAGGCCTTGCGCGCCAGCTGCGCCAAGGCCTCGCATTCGGGCGTGAACAAAAGAGTCAAGTTTCCCTCGAAGTTGGATTCTCGAAGGGTGAGGTGAGTCGATGCCTTTGTGAGTCCAGTGAGCGCGGTGCAGCGTGGGTCAGCGCCTCCATGTGTGATCTCTCGGTCGTCCGAAAGATGCCCATAGGGTGGGTCGGTTCCTGTGCCGCGCGCGGCGTTGCGGTGGCGCTTCCCGACTTGAGCGCTGCTCACGCAGGGGACAGCAGTTGCCAGCTCCGTGCTACTATTGCTCAGTGCATCCACAACCTTCTTAAGCTCGCGAATGCTGTTTTTTCCGCTGGGCGCCCAGCGATTGTAATCAGTCCCTGCAAAGAGCAACTAGAGCATGTTCAGGATTATCTCGGTTTTTGGTGTCGGGCCCGTGGCGTCTGGACCTCCAGAGTGCCCCCCTGTGCTTTTTCGGCTTCGGGTCGCCGCGGTCCGCTCGACATTTTAACGGCCTCGGGTGGGCCTCTTGTTTGTAATGATTTCCTCTGTCGCCGCCGCCGTGTGTCTGCTCCTAGTAAGTCGCATTTCGTTTTCTTCGGGGCTGCGCTGGCCTCTCGTCTCAGCTTACACATAAAGGGTGCCGCCGACATAAATCAGATTTACAATTTAACCCGTCTGGTTTGTTGACATGGGCCTGGGGCCAATTCGGGCTGATTCGGGGACGATCGGCTCCGCCGTTTGCGAAGTCAACCGCTGCGCCGTCCGAGAGATGCGATCTGGATGAAAGAACAGAGAATAGCGTTGTCTGGCCGCGCCTGGGGAGGGGTCGGGCTGAGCATGTTCTTAAAGCGCCGTTGCCCGCCTGTCCTTCCGCGGCCCTTTTGGGGCCCCGACCAAATTCGCTCAAGCCCCCCCCCCGCGCCCTCCCCGCTCGGCGTGGCCTCCGCCGCAACTTTAATCCAAAAGGGGGGGGCGATCGGTTCCGCCGTTAGCGAAGTCAACCGCTGCACCGTCCGAGAGATACGATCTGGGTGAAAGAACAGAGAATAGCGTTGTCTGGCCGCGCCTGGGGAGGGGTCGGGCTAATCATCATCATCGTCCTCATCGTCATCATCCGTAGCCATTTTGGCTCAAGTTGGAACCATTGCTCCGTGGCTCCAGCTTGGGAGCAGCCGAGGGGCAGCTCGAGGGTCTCGGCAGACAGGCTGCCAGCGCTCTCGCCCACCACCCCACTGAGTGCATGCCCTCTCTGCCCCTTCTCAGATCTGACCGCCATGGCGGTCGATGTGGTTGCGATCCAAGCTATGTTTCAGGCCATGTTTGACACCCAGTTTGCCAAGATCGAGAAATCGATCGATGATAAGGTCGCGGGTCTTGCTGCCACTGTTGGAGTACAAGGCCAGATGATGAAAGAGATCACCGACCGCCTCGAGAGGTCAGAGAATCGTCTCAATGCCATGGAACAGGCGGCTCAGGTGAATGCTCGTTCGCCCCCTCTTGTCAACAGTCAAGGAGGTAAGCGCCGTGCAGTTGACAGCTCGATCAGTGACGGGCCCACCGCAGGAGGGAGTGCAGGAGGAGGATCGTCCCTGGAGGATGCCCACCGTCTGCTCATCCTTGGGTTCCAGGATCGGTTGAGGGCCACTTCTCTCGAGAGGGTTGCCATGGACATCATCTCTAAGTGTGCGACAGAGCAGACAGCCAGTCTCATTCGGATCCGTGCTTATGACCTCCAGAAGAAAGCTACCCTGGACTTCCCTACCCCCGCCATGGCTTCGGACTTCCAGATGCATTTCAGGAAGCTGAGTGAGAGTTACAGCATGGTTAACCCACGGAATCAGCAGGATGGTTGGCCCCTTCGCGTTCGTCGTAACCTGTCTCCTCAGCATCGGCTTCTCTTCTTCAAGATGGGGAAGGTACGGGGTGCGGTCCAGGAAGAGCTTTCCAAGGTTGGGTTGCAGGCCAACTCGGCCTTCGCTCGCGTGAAGATCCAGTTCCTCTCTTCCGCCTCACCTGCTGCCCCCAGAATCCGGATGTGATCCACATTCGCCCAGATGAAGCAGGTCTTAGCGCTCTTGGACTGAACACTCCTGAGGTCCGTACGAAATTCGAGGCTGCGTTCGGTACTGAGCTTACGCGTCCCTTTTGACGTTGAATCTGACAGGTTAGGTCGCCCTGGGGACCATGTTTTTTTCCGCCCCCCCCCAGGGGCCTCCAGGCACTTTTTTGGCGGGTGCCCGTCGCGCCCGTGAAGGCAGGATTGAGTTTGATTTTTCCTCCAGTTTTGATTCCAGTAGCTCGAGCAGTTCCGACTCCGACTCGAGCTCTTCTTCGCCCAGCGGGGGTCTGCCCGCTGAATCGTTGCTCCCCTTTTCCCCGCCTTCCTCTTGCTCTCTGTCTTTGCTCGCATGGAACTCGAGGGGGCACTTCGCGTCCATTCACCACTCCTCTCTGCGGGCCTCTCGTCGGTACAAGCAGCTTATGGGATTATCTCGGCGTTCCAGTATTTTGTGTGTGCAAGAGACCCATGGCACAGCTGGTGATGCAGCAGCACTCCAGGCAGATCTGCAAGGTTGGTCGATTGGATTCTCAGGGCATGCCTTTGACATTGCTGGTGGTGTGATTACGCTGATCTCTCCTGCTCTCTGCGCTCTCTTCACGGACATTCGACATTTCAGTATTGATGACGGCCGTATCCTGGTCTCTAAATGTAGTGGTCGACGGGGTTGTCTCCGGGTCCTGAATGTACACCTGCCTACCTTGGGGGAGCCTGTGTGGACATTTCGGAGGTCTCTGAGGCTTATTCGGAACGCCCTGGGGACTCCTGACGCCCTGGTTATGATTGGTGGGGATTTCAATTTCGCCCTCGAGGAGGATGGCCGCCAGTGCGGGGATGGATCGGGGTGGAGGCCTGGAGATCGATATAGGCATGATATGTTCCACTCTTTCTTCCCTCGTTGGACTGAGGTCCACAGGCCAGATCCTACCCGTCGTGAGATTGTCAGTGGGGAAATCTGCCACGTGAGCCGACTTGACCGTCTGTATCTTGCCTCTCCAACTGCTGTTCTCTCTGATCTTTCCATCGCGTGCTCGGTTATTGGCAAAGCCACGACTACGCAGAATGTCCCTGACCACATTCTTGTACTGGCCACGTTTCGGAAATACCAGCCTTCTGAGAATCCCTCTATCCCTCCGTAGATTGGGAAGCACCCGCGGTTTCATGTTGAGCTTGACGCCCTCCTGTGTGAAATGGATCGGACTGCACATATCAATGATCAGGTTGCCGTGGTCAAGACGTGTATGTTTGAGGCCTGGAAGCGGACGCGTCACTTCCTCCCCCATCGAGTCGCTCGGACTGCAGATGAGAAGATTCATTTTTCATTGGCTGCTTTGAGGGGTCTCCGTGCACGGCATGCACAGCGAGTCTCCTCTGCCATTTCTTGCTACTCTCACCTGTCCCGCTTCTTCGTCATCGACCCTCTCACCTGTCGGAATCTTCCTGCGCTTTGTGATCACATCCAGTCGCTCCAGAACCTTCGGCTGACTGGGTTAGAGCAGGAAGCTGACAAAGAAACTGATTTGGAGATTAAGGCTCGGCTGCGTTCCAGGCTACAAAGGCGTCGTGAGCTCTGGAGGCCTCTTCAGAAACGGATTTCTCTTGGGACTATCCTGAGCTCTGGTGGTGCTCCGCGCAGCACCATTGAGGAGGCGGGGGAGGAGCTGGCTCGGCACTGGGAAACGGTCTTTGGTGAGTTCGATTGCGACACTTCTCTCTGGCCTGAGCTTGAAGCTCACATCTCTCCTGTCCGCCCCCTTCCTGGCGCTCAGTGGCGGCTTGGCTTCGGGTACTTTGAGAAATTGGTAAGGAGGCGACGCGATTCGATGCCGGGGCCTGATGGGATTGTTGATTCTTGCTGGAAGTCCCCTATCCCGATTGCCATCCTGTATGATCTCTACTGCCATCTCTTTGACCATCGTGCTCGCGACATGTCCCCCTCCATGCGTGAAATGAATATTGTCTTCCTAGCCAAGAAGGAGAATCCGACGGATCTTACTGATTGCCCCTCTCGGTCTCCTGATGCATGTCGTCCTCTCGCCATGTCGAACACTGACTGTAAGATAATGTCTGTGGCGTTCTCTTCCCAACTGGAGAAAGAGGCGCGCGAGTGCGTGCACAAGGTTCAGGCTTGCATTCGAGGGAGGTCTATGACAGACCAGATTCTTGAGGCGGAGTGTTGGGGGGTTCTGCATTGTATGACAGGGAGGGACCTGGCATGCATGTTCCTGACCGGCTTTGCTGCTGCGTTTCCGAGCATTGCGATTTCTTGGCTCCTTCGGGTGTTGGTCCTGATTGCTGTTCCTCCTGGAGTTGTTGGTTTTTTCGAGTCGCTGTACTCCGATAGCCTGGGGGCCATCTGCTTTGGTGGGAAGCGTCACAGAGCGATTCGCCTGCTACGGGGTGTTCGCCAAGGGGGCCCGTCCAGCATGCTGCTCTTCGCTCTCGCTCTCGACCCGTGCATTCGCTGGCTTTGTTGTCGTCTCCCTCGGCCAATCTTGGCATATGCTGACGGTTTGTGGTTCGGGCTTCGGGATGTGAGCGCTGATCTACCGATCCTTCCCCCGCTACTTCAGCGTCTGCATCCTGGGATTGGGCTTGCTCTGAACATGAAGAAGTGTGTATTGACCCACTGTGGTATGAGCCTTTCTCCGCGTTCGTCTCGACTGATTCGCAGGTTACTCGCTAGTCTTGGGAATGGGGCTGATGCCATTGGGTTGGTTCGGCATGCTCGATATCTTGGGATCCAGATTGGTCCAAAAGGTTGGAAGCACAGGTGGGGCGCCGCGCTGCAGAAATTTCATCAGCGTTGTATTGAGATTCGGAGACTTCGGATTGGGCTCGCTATGACTATTAGAACGTACGTGATATTTGCCGTCTCGGTTCTCAGGTTTGTGATGCAGTTCTATCCTCCGTCGTCGGCGGTTCTGAAGTGCGAAGGGAACATGCAACAGAAACTCATGGCGGGTCCTCGGTTTGCCTTCAACAGACTGATGTGCACCCGGATGTGACCTCGGCTTATCGTTGGAGTTCCCTGATCTGACCCAGATCGG